CCAACTGTTAGACTAACATCCAACTTTGGATTTATGAAGTTTATTGATGTTCTTATGCTTCTGCAGTCTGATGTTTGGTAAACTGTTGAAAGCTGTAGTTGGATGGGGGAAGTGTATATTTAAAAAGTAAATGAGAATTTAATTTATTTTCTGCAGAAAGTACTAGGATATAATTAAAAATAGGAAAGATGAGTATCTCTTGGCATCAAATTTTAACACAAGCAGTAAAATAAAAATTATCAACCTTACATAAAACAGATCTCTATTCCCCCCCTTCAACCTTCCCTACCCCCCCGCAATGGGGGTCCAATAAAACCTTGGAACATCCTGAGCATAATGAACATCAACTGGATATAAAACAGAACTCAAATTTTAATGGTTTAGGATGGGAGTATCTTCCTCTGTGGTGGGAGGAAAAACTGAAAATGCCAGAACGTGATGTTTATAAAGGTTTTGAACTAATACGTAAAATTAAAATAAAGATAAATGAAAACACTTGTAAAGAGGATTATTGAAGATAAGATAGTACTATTGTAAGTATAATCCAGCAGCCTGGAAATTAAGAATGTATCATTATATATAGGCAGTGCAGGGAGATCTGGAGAGGTTTATCTTTTTGGAACAGGCTGAAAGAGCAGAAACAAAATACTAATTTTCCTTTTCCAATTTAGGAGTTTGGAAAAAAAAAAGAATTAAAAAAAAAAAGGAAAAAAAACAAAACAAAGCAAAGGGGGCCTAAAAAAGGATGAAGAGTATTTTTCTTCACAGGTGAAGAGAATGAAGAATACCGCTTTCTCTTTGTGTAATAGCTAAATCAAGATGAGGATTTCATAAAAGACTGTTTCTGAAAAGTAAGACAATATTCACCATTAAGATCTACGTCAACCACTTACTTGTTGGCACTAATGATGTAGACAATCATTAGTTCCAAAGCCACAAGTTTTTTTCATCTTTAGGGGAGAATTCGGAGACTGTCTCTAAAAGAATACTACTCTGAAACCAGTTTGATTCTTGGCAGATAAAAATAACAAAAAAATGGAGAACAAAAAATAAAGAACTACTTCCTAGACTTCAAAATATTTAAAAACAAAACAGTAAGGGATACAATGAGAAGTGACAGTGTGTCTCACTTCTCCATTCCGAACAGTTTCTTAACAATCCTGGTTTTAAAGTAAAATATAAATCACAAATTTTAGTTCACTCCAAATAACTGTGTTCATTCAGAAACTTTCAAGGGAACGCTTACTGAGTTAGTAAAAGAATCCAGAAAGTGAGGCCATAATCATAATACTGTTGACATGAAAGTTTCCAGTCCTCCTCGTTTGTATCACGTTTTCTTACTCAACTGCCTCAAATGTTTTTCTCTATCTTCTATGAACAACTTTCTGAGATAACAGACCAAACAACAAATATTCTACCAGCAGACATCTTCCAACACCTATAATTTTCAGAAAATGCAAACAGCAGATGAGTAGCCATCACAAAACATTTAGGCTTTAGTAAAAAATACTAGTGTCTTTTCTTGTGTAGAAAATTAACCTCCAGATGAGCTGAACTATAAAGTTCACATTAATAATATCTGGGTTTGAACTTGTTCAATGCTTGACAAAGACTGCCTGCAGACATTAAGCCCATCTAAAATGGTGCTTCCACTGTCGTAATTCGAGGACTTACTAACAAAATTATATGTTTGAAGACTTATTCTGAATCAGTGTTCCTGCATCTGCTTACCTCTCATGATTTGAATTCAGGTACACAGGGTTCAACATGTCATTCCAAATGTAAGTGCCAGAAGAGCACCGACTTCTAGTAGGCTGTTTTACCTTCCATATCCCAGATACACTAAGACATATGAAAAGACACTAGATGCATGCATTTCAGCATCTTATTTTCATGCTCTCCCTTTCTCCAGCTACAGCTAATGTCTGTTTTTACAAACCAGTTTGGGAATGCAAGTCCTGTTTTTTGTGTGGCTCTTCACCAATTGTTGCAGGGAAATAAGCTTAAGTCTGAAATGAGGTGGTAACAGGGAAAAAAATACTTTGTTTTCAACACGTAATCTGCAGTTTGCCTTGAAGGAGCCAGTCCTATTCAGGCTATTTTCTTATGCAAGTCAACTTTATATATTCATTTAACTAAGTTTCCAGGCGTTCAGTACTAGCGTAATGCATATAGAGTGGGTACAACATTTTGGTCATATCTGTGTACTTTGATCTGAAATCCTCACCTCTCCCTCTAGTGCTGAATACAAGCAAATTTGAGAATGAAATATTGCAGGCTTCTGCAGGCCAGCACACAACTTGCTAAGAATATCAACTGGAAAAAGGGAGCAACTAGCTCTTCCCTGTGCTCTTTTCTCAGTGTTTATGATATCCATTTTTATTTTCTTCTGTTATAACTGGCTTAATATCTCAAATATTCACATTGCAAAATGAACGTAATGCAAGAAAACTTCTAATTAATTTGTAATATATTTTTAACTGGGAATGTGCAACAGATCTTATTTTTTTCTTTCTAGCTCACACATCTTCAACTGCACATAATTTCAGTTCAGTCAATGCTAAAAGCAACATCTGGAAAATGCAACAATAAATGAGAATAAATACAAAGTCACTGAATGGTTACTCATTTTCCTGTCTGTAAGCTACTCATTTTCCTGTGCTTAGAGAGGAGTGGCTATGAGAACCGATATGATTGGGCACACACACAAACTCTTATATTAATTTCCACTGCCACTTTTTTTTCTTTTCTTTTTTTTTTTAAATACAGACTGTTTAACTTCAGAACTGAATCTTGCTCAGATAGACACAGCCCAAAGATATTAGCCAGGTTCAGTTTGGAATGAATGTGAGCATTGGAGTGTGGAACCTGGTTTGCCTTGGTCCCCTGTGAGAAGATGACTTTCAGGGAATGATCAGTGCACAGGGATCCCACTGGAACAATTGCCTCTGAGAAACAAAACAAAACAAGCTAGCAAAACAGAAACCTCACTGACAACCAACATAGTTTCCATGTGAGAAAACTCATATGTACAAGTGCTTTAAAGCAGTCTGATGAGGCAGTAGTAAAAACTGCATTAAACTGTGAGAATGTCCCTCTATCACATTTGTCAGTTTCACTGGCAGACTTTGCCAACAGATTCAAACTGTAAGGGCAGACAATGCAAGAAAGACTTTGGTATAAAAATTTGCAATTTACATTAAACAAGACCAGGATTTTTCAGTTTCCTACTTTGCGGTCTTCATGTAGATATTATACTAAATGTTGTCACTCATATTTGCAGTCAGTCTATGCTACATTTCTATATGTGCTCTCCTGTGTTTTCCCAGGTGATGTTTTGAAAATGAAACTCCAGTTGGATCAAGCCCTCTGGGGCTAATTAATTAAAACTTGTAACACATTTTGAAAACCTTGAAAATGATGGTCTGTAGCAAAATCCAAGTAATAAAACACTATTTACTCTATTACTTCAGAAAATTAAATAAAAAGCAGCATGTTCCTTCCATGCAACACTGGCCAGTTATCACAATACAGACAGACTATACTGCCAGTCTCTCTTCTTTTGCAAATAATGTCTTTAGAAAGACTGGAGGAGACAAATTCCCAGTTACAAATCAGTCTTTTCTTTGATGTCTCCCTAATTTTCTGTGCATATGTTTAAGCTTTCACTTCCTGCAGCAGCACTGCAAAACTCAAGAACTTTTGCTTTAGATCTCACTAGTAAATCTAGCACTGTAAAAATGAAATAAACACTTCTGTAAGTGACATATTTTTATACAGATTTAACACTGAGAAATCTCCTGAAGCGTTTTTATTCTTGCTGACATTGGCTAAGGAAATGACAGAATAAATCCTTAGCATGGAAAGTGTTTGCTTCTCTTCTCTATTAACTGCTTATGGTCCTTTCCCCAAGTGCCTACTGGTGCATAAAGGAGAGGAAAAAGCATTAATAACTCTTGCCTTAATGTTAAAAACAGCTTAATAAAGGAGTTTGTAAGTAAGAATATGCTTTTCCTACCACGATGGCATGTCTTTTTAAATTCCTTTGGGCCTCAATTCAGAAAAATACTTAAGCACAGTACTTACGGTAAATCATAGCCTCAATTTCCACTTGATCTGAAATGTGCTTTTGTGTGATTTACTGAGTAATGGTCTGTATCATTAATGTTCCCGTTCAAACTAACATTTTTTCCTCCAGAGAAAAAGAAACCAGGAAACTCAGGAAGGTTCTCTAAAGATTATCCCACTGAAGAAGGGAAGAGTGAGGTCGGCACCCATAGTCCAAGCCCATCAAAGCAAAGGGAGTGTCTGAATATTTCAGAGGTTTCAGTCTTAAGACATTCACTTTGACATTCCTTGTGCAGTGGTGAAAAAAAGTCAAACAAGAATTTAACAATTATTTTAAAAGGCAACATAATTAATCCACTCTAAATTGGCAATCTTGCAAATAACAGATAACTGATTTAATTAAAAAACTGGTAACACTGTCTTTCCAATTTCCTGTTAATCGACAGCTGGTTTCAGATGGGAGTTCTCTTCTTTTCAGGTTTGCCTCCTAAAGTTTTAGTACCAAATACATGTAAACCCCACTACCTTCTTGCTGCACATCACCAAAAAAGAGGAAAAAAAAAAAAAAAAAACAGAAAAAAATGGAAGTGGGTAACAAAGAGACAGAGAATTAAAGAGGAAGAAAAAAATAAATGTCAGATCCACTCACAAATGCATACAGGTATGAGCCAGAGACTTAAGTGGAGTACTGGCAGTTTATACTTAGTAAAACCTGGCCAAAACTGTTTCTATACAAATCAACGCATGCCATGAGGCAACAAAATCATCAGAATGCAAATCATTAATTCCCTATTGTATGATAAAGGCAGAAGCAGAATGACTATTAAAACAGCATTTCACTTACATAACTGCAGTTTAAGCAAGGTTCAGTACATAACTTCACAGGCAAAATAAGCCTTCACATACAAAATAAGGACGCTACAGCTTCTTACCTGAGCTTTTATTGGTTTTGTTTTGTCTGCTCTTTACTTGCTCAGTCCATAATGTAGGATAACGAGAAGCTATATCTAAGAAGAAAGAAAAAAAAAAAGAAAAAAGTTTGTAAATGTTACAGTTTTCTAAAAGTTACTAGCAGATATATAATACGTGTTCCATTTTAAAGATATATAGATACTAAGAAGAAAAAAGGGTACACTGATCTGCATTTGAATAGGTAAAATCTTTAGTCACAGAAAGGCATGAATAGCTTTTCTTATTCCATTTATAACAAGGGTTAAAATGCGTAATTGTAGAATAAAATCATATTTAAACAGAATTAAAATAACCCAACACAGACCCAAAATACGTAATGACTTTAGATCAGATTCTGATCAGAGACTTACACACAATAGTCACAATACATGCATATGAGCCCTGAGCTTTCCATTCACAGAGCACTGAATTTCCCCAGATGCAAATAAGCCTGACAAAACACCAACCTCCAACTTCACATTGCTACACCACATGCTGAGGGTAGCATTTGGGCTTTTAATTTCCTTGTTTAGCTATTAAGTTTCAATTTACACTGTGGCTCAAGTTTAAAACCTGTCTGTGCCCTGAGTACTGCTAACAAATTTGCTATGTCAGGAATCCACAGTTGAAGTGTCACCTCTGAACTATCCCATCAAATTCACTATCTGTGGTTTTTGACTTATTCCCCAAAAGGTACGTTTTTAATCTCTTTTCACTTCAGGAAGTCTAATCAGCTATCACAGTTACCAAAGTTCTAAGGTAGAATTTGATGCTGTCCATACTGCATTAGAAATATCACACTGTTAAACTCCTATTGACACTTACCTTCTTCATCACCTTGAGGCTGAGTTTCCAGCGCAGGAGCTGAGGCATCATCTGAATTCAGAATGGAAAAGATTTGCAAGGAGACTACAATTATGAGAGTAAGCTAAATAAGTGTACATACGTGATTGATGCTAATGATTTGCACATAGCCCCGGCCGGTAAACAAACAGAAACTTAAGCATTATTAGCATGAACTGCATATCACAGATACATAACATCTGCAGGCTACATCTGTCATAAATAGATGGATTTTAAGGTTATGGCTGATAAACTGATTGCAGGGTCTTTGATAAGGCATGAAGTGACCAGGTTGCTTCCCAGATAGTAATTCTTCATTTTTAATGATGCACATGGATTCCTATAAATTATAATTGAAAAATGAGCACTTCTGAGGACGTAATTGGGTAAATGTATAAAAGGAGTAAGCCCTGTGAAAGCAAAAGCAGCCTGAGATGAAGAAGAGGTTGCAGACATGTTGAAACCTTAAAATGAAGCAAGATTATAAGCAAGATTCATAGATTAAATGCTTGCATCATTCTTATCCTTTAGTCAGCTATCTCCATTAGTCCACAATCAACCATTACTGTGAAACAAGAGGGATGAAAATTTACAGAAATTGTAGGAGTGTGTGGATAATCTTCATCTCAGTAAAATACAGTGGAAGCATTGCTGGAAAATGAAATTTCATTATGAGAAAGTTTTAAATTAGCAGTTTAAAATCTTTACCATATCATGTTTTTGTCACTTAAAATTATTTCAGACCTTGAGTTAGCAGACCTTCACAGCACATATTTTCTCATAAAATGGAGCTAACTCCAAGATACTTTGTTCTAATGATACCATAGACCATAACTTCCCATTAGTTTTGCTGGCATTTCTGTGGTATCTCCTGGGTGGTGGAAAAAGATCATTAATTAATTTCAGAGTGTCCATTGAATATCCCAGTGTTTCGAAAATAAAGATATGCATTTAGATCATCAATTAGCATGTGAGATTCAGAAAATCTCCAGATTTTCAGAGACAGTTTTGGTGGGTAAATATTACCAAGAGCTCAACCACAAATTCTGTTTTGGGTTTAAGTAACATTTTTCTATGATCATCTTTCTGTACACAGTTTCAGTTTGTGATTCATTTGATCTTAAGTTTCTACCTGAAATTAAGATAGAACTCTTGTAATATAATACAATATAAAGCTTTAATAATTATCAGCCCAATCAAAATTATATTCTTGACAAAGAACTCTGTTCATTGAGACAGTATTTATTAAGCAGCATTTAAGGCACACTTGGTGAATATAAATACATGTTTAAAATCCCAAATCTCAGGTGCTTAACTGCAGTATTAACAGTCGTAAGACTGGTCTTAAGTTCTCCCCCCAAAAATGAAAGAGCTTTTCTTTTCATCTCCAACAAATCAAATGTTTAGTATGGGACATTTGTGTAATCTAAAAGGCAATAGCATTCGGAACTGCAGGAGCTATGTCAGATCCTGTAGTACCCATAATGTGAAGGAAGATATTCACATTAGTTTTCTGCTTGTGCTCTGTCGAAGTGTCTCTGCTTTTCATAAAAACGTTTTGTGCTAAGAATGAAAAAGCACATACAACTTCCTTGTTCAAAACAAAATTCAATATACCATCACAATTACAGAGCAGCTCATTTTTATATTAATTAGATGTTTCAAAAGTTAACTTCGTAGGATTTCCTGGCCAGCACCTGCACTTGACACTACATTCCACTACATATGTGCATAGATATGAACAAACCATACAGTTATCAGAGTTCCCTTAATAAGAACAGGGTCCTGCAGTCAGCTAAGATTCAAAAGAAACATGCTTCCATCTCTAACACTTGTGCTTTTCAGATAGTCCGAGTATTTCCTCTGGCTAAAGGAGAGAACTATGGTGCAGGGGAAATATGCTTTAATCCTTTAAGCTTTGTTTCTGTTTGATTTAACATGCAAATCTGCAAACATTCAAGCAGAGTTCCTGACCTCCAAAGTTTGCAGCTGGAGTTTTTTGTTCAGCACTGGAATATTCAAAGAAAGTGAGATGCTCAACTGCAACAGATATGGCCCTCTAGGAAATGCTTTCTGAGTTTGTGTGGGGCATTTTGAAAGAAGAGACTGTCTCAGGCTGAGTGTATTCTCTTGAGTATAGTCATCAAGACCAAACAAGTTTGGGGCACATCTTCTGTACCCGCAGGAATGTTGAGGACCTTCTTAAGCTTACTGGGTTTGAATATCAGTTCCTCCACCTGTGCACTTCCAGTTAATCCACAGGAACATGCTGAGGGACATTGGGCAGGAAGGGGGGCATTCTGAATTTATTCCAAAAACTACAATTGTGCTCTGTCAAGTTGAACTATAAAATATTTTTGCCACACTGACTATGAAGCAAAAACACACATCTTTAACTCAGATGACAGATCCAGTTCATTACCCTGTGATGGTCCTAAAGAAGTTGTGATGTTTCTGACAATGCTATTTCATTGAAATCATATGGCAGTGACTTGTTAGAAGGGAGGGGAGAAGGAGCTAGCTGTATCTGAGAAAAGCCATGGACCACCTGAGAACAAGGACATCAGAATTTGTGCCACAGGCTTGTGCTGGAGAATAAAAACAAGGTGTGAGTGAAATGCAGCTGTGCCATTTTAGAAACAAATACATGAAATGCAAACAGAGGCACAATAAAGTGTCTTCATTTAATTTCCTTGTTCTAAGAGCATTCATACAGGCTTCAGCAACTGTGCCCTCCCATTCACAAACAAAAAACCCAACATTTTATATATGGAACAGTTCATAAAGCCCAAAGGTCAAAATAAAAGTACTGACCCCAAACAAATTTTCCCAGAAATTTATCTGGAAGTACAGAAAGGATCAATTTTCCAGCGCTTATTCAAGTACCTCATCACTACTACTCTTAAAAAAGGCACTGAGTTTCCAAACAGTACAGTGGATTACTTAAATCTGGGATATATTACAATGCTGTAAAAAAATCCTGTAAAACTTACTTCAGTTATATTTACGGTGGACCAAACTGGATAGTCATTAGCATTTACACTAAGTAGAAGAAACTTCTTTAAAATTAATTTATCCCATCCTAACTGGCACCAAAATTTAGAATGTTATTTTCAGCCAAGTCTAAAATTATTTATAGTGTTTGGAGAGTGTGAGCTTTAATTTTGTTAAAAGATATCTCCCCTTCATTTAAATCTACCAGTTATGTTGGAGTTGCATCAGATTTTGTCCTGCCAACAAGATACACACTGTGATCTATCTCTAAGAATAACAATCATCTGGCCATGAATTTAAGCGATCACTTTAATTAATCACAATGTAGAACAAAGGGCTGGGTCCAAGATGACATGAGTACTGGTTGATATGGAGATAAAGCAAGAACTCCATTCCCAAGATCTTGGGACTGCAGAACGCTGGCTTTATCAAGGAGACAGAATAATCTGTCCTCCAGGACAAGAGAACAGCATGAGAAAACAGCTCAGATTATGGCAATGGGAAGGAAAGTTATTTTCCAAACAGTATAAAATAGCAAATTCCATAGGGCTAAGACTAGAAAAATGTGTCACATATACACATATGCATATTATATATGCAAATATAATAGGAGATGAATATTCACTGATACTTAGAACTATGAAAAATCAAAGGGGTATATCCCACAGCTATTTTAATCCCTATTTAAGGGTCATTTAAGATATTTACCTGTTTTTCCTGCACCTTCTCTTTGTGGCAGTTTCTCACTCACTGAGCCTGCAATTGTAGAAAGAAATTAACAAGAAAAAAATATTTTCATATTTAAATTTTTTTCTAAGAAACACGGTTTCAACAATTAGTTGTTTGTTGTTGTTGTTTTTTACAGCAATAATAACATTAAATTCTTCCTTTGTAAACCAAGTATTTTAGCTTTGCACTGTGTGTGCTGGAGAGGCAGAACAAGGCATTAAGAGCCTGAGCCTGGGTTCGCTGCAGGAAAGAGGTATCCGCAGAACTGGAAACCTGGCAGCTCTGGTGTGAAAGGAGTAATGAAATCTGCAGGAGGTGTGTTTTGACTGCTTATTCTACTGGCCTGAATGCCAGCCCACCAGTCTTCACTGGAAGTCGTCAAGAACTGGATAATCCATTGGTTTCCTTAGTAGTTTTTACAAGAGCTAGTTGGCTTCAAGGTTCAAAAAGAAACAATGCCTTTTGTCTCAGTTATGTGTCTCACTCCTGCAACAGTTTGTTTGATCCTCATGCTAGTCACTTGTCTTTATATCCATCTCTGACACGATAAAGTTTAAAATGAAATTTGTGGGTTTTTTTTCCTCTCACAAGGGGCAAATATAGTGATCAAAAGTTAAAAGACACATTATCCATCAGTTTTTAACTGATCAATTCTCCTTACATACACCAGGATTAAAGCAAACAATACTTGACAGATACTCAAAGTGTATGAAATAATTTGGTTGCCTTAATTGACCAAAACTCACTGCAGATTATAAACAGAATAACCTTTCAGCACAATAAAGATGTTATAACAGAGCAATTTAAATGAGAAAGCTTATTAAATCAAAGGCCTTGTTCACCACACAGAATGGAAGGTTACTTCAGCATGAAGTGTAGACAGGAGTCTGCCGGAGGAAAGGCAACTAATATCACAGATTTGGCAAGTCAATTGGATCCACAAAAAAATAATGCAGCCAAGTTGGCATTACCTTTTGGAGGATTCAGCTTCTAACAGATTTGTATATCCATATCAAAAATAATCTAATTTGGACTTGTTTCATTTTTGCATGATGGTATGTTTTTATTGCATTGCCTTTGAATTATTAGAAGTTCAATATACTTAACAATGCATCAGTATTAATTCAGACAAGAAAAATAAAAGCCAGTATCTTCAAAGACAGTATATCCCAAAGTGTTTGGGACGACTTGCTAAAGACTGCAATACTAATTCCCATTGTTCATCCTGAAGAGAAGGCAGATGCTTGCTTTTACGCAATGAAGAGCTTTTGGGTACTTGGCCTGACTTTGCTGAGAGGCCAAGCTTGAACTCGGATAATTCAGTTTTAGAAAGTACTATGCACAAAATTACAGGTGTTCCTAATTGCACTAAAGACCACTGATCCAGTATTTCCTCAAATCTCATCAAGTTGCAATTAACTCCATAGTTTCTCATTTTAACTTTGGGGTACAGGAGTACATATAAAAATTTTCTTGCAAATACAGATTTTGTTTCATTCTCATCGACACCACAGTGATTTACACCAGTTTGTGAGTACAAACAGTATTCAGCCTAGGTGTATGTGTGATGAAGCACCACTGATGGTTCCTTTGCATTACAGAGTTATAAGCAAAGCCTCAGTTTGAGAACAATATTGTCTGTTTCTATGTACACTCAGCACCAGATTTGATATTCTTCTTCACTTTGCTATTATTAGTCCTAAATTTTGAAGGAAAATTGATGGATAGATGGTGGAAGATAGTATCATTCACAAAGGTTAACTTTGCCTTGGTGAAACTAATCTCACTATAAAACTAGATGAATGCTAGGAAAATTAGGTTCAGTGGGCAAACATTAACTTTTGTAGTCTTAAGAAATGAAGAAAAATACTCTCAGAACTTCATAAAAAGAGCAATCAGTACCCTTCACACTCTTTCATCCTGAATTTTAAACTACGTATCAGAAAGGGTATTTTTCTAAATTGGAAGTGGAGAGATAATTGACCTTATATCCATTTTTTTTCTAATTCTGAATATATTTGTGTACTGCTAGTTTAAAATGGTGATAACAAGATGGATTTCCAAATTTCTAGGAAATTATGTCTTCAATACTCACAACAAATGTTCACATTTTCAGCCAGGCATGAAATAGAAATAGCAACATGTAACTTATGTAAAATGCAATACAATCTGCTTCCTAATTTTCAGTGCACTGTAAACAACCAAATAACCACGTAAGAATATTTATGGAAGGCAAGGGGTCAAGGAGACCTATTAGATTCAGCAGCATTATTTCATTAAGAAGAAGTTAGTGCCATTTTACCTTTTCTCCTCCGTTTGCTCATGGTTGTGATGAATTAAGAAAAAAAATAATGAATCACAGAATCATAGAATCACCAAGGTTGGAAAAGATCCACAGGATTATCCAGTCCAACCATTCACCTATCACCAATAGTTCTCAGTAAGCCATGTCCCTCAACACAACATCCAAACATTCCTTGAACACCTCCAGGGTTGGTGACTCCACCACCCCCTGGGCAGCCCATTCCAGTGCCTGACTACTCTTTCAAAGAAGTAGTATTTCCTAATATCCAGCCTGAATTTCCCCTGGCACAGCTTGAAGCCATTAAACATGAAATCACAGAATCATTCATTAGTTTATGGTGAAACCCACGATACAGCCCATTTTCAGTCATATGATTTCTGAGGCACTATAAACTTTCCAGGGACTATAATTAATGTTTTGTGATTTGTGATTTTAGCACATACATTTTCTACAGTTCTGATCAGATGCGGAGAAAGTGAAAGCCTAATCTCTAGTTAAAGAATATTTGATATGGAATATCAAGAAACAGGAAAGTAAATTTCCCATCCTGCATAATATTTTGGATATAGGTGTGTCTGACTGTGGACAGGGAATTGTGTATAGGGTAAGTACTACATATAGGGACAGAAGAACTAGATAAATCAAGAATGAATAATTTTCCCAACATAAAAAGAACAATACAATATAAACCAAAGAGTTTGTTACCTTACCAAATGCATCCATTTCCAGTATAGTATCTGACGATTATATTATACAGACAGGAAGAGATTTAAACATTTAAAGATACTTGATTTTGGACTTAAGAGATGATAACAGCATTTTAAATATGAGGTAGAAAAACTACATTACAGAACAATAAAATTTGCTGCTGTATCTCTGCAATCCCACTGACAGAAGCCCAAAAGAGTTAATATGGCATAAAAAAAACCCTAGAGTAAAACACAATATTTTCCAACAATAATTTAACACCTGCTTCTCTATTTCTGTCCCATTTCCCAGGACTCTGCCTATGGAATTTCTGCAGCTCCCTTTAGTACTGATAAGAGATGAGGAGTTTTAAAAATGTCTTTCTTATGTCTGGTGTTCTTTAGTGAAAGGACTGTGGGAACATTCATCATTTTTAAGGAGCTTTCTTTCCAATGCTGTCATGGGAATGTGTTTGATTTACTCTCCTTCTCACCACTGCTCCTGCAGTAATGGAGATTATTTCCATGGGGTGGAATAGCATTCTGAGATTTATCAGGTGTGTTTTGGCAGTAACAAGTGTTGCAGTGGGAAGAAATGGGAAGGACGGAAGAGGAGCTTCTTTCAGGTAAAGATCTAATAGATGAACTGAAGGTTTTACATCAATCAGTTGTGCCTTTTTAATGCACCTCATAACCTGCTACTTTCTTGTCTCTAAAAAAAAAAAAAAAACACAGCTTCGATAAGAGCAACCAGAACAGCAGAAGGAACACAAAATTACTCACACAACTATTGTAGATACACAAAAAAAATATGCATGTGATAGTTTTTCATCCTAAGAGAGAAACTGTATTAACAGTATTGGAAGCAATGGCATTCCTGGAACAATAGTTAAGACAGGAGTATATCTCCCCAACAACAGCATACCTACTAACATATTGTCCATAATTCCTGTGCATGGTGGAACTAAGGAGAAAGTATAAAAAGGAATCAATGGTGATCTGGAAAGTTTCAATTTCTGTGTGTGGGGGGGTGGGGGAAGGTGGGGGGGATAAATCTTATTCTAAACAGATGGCAATTTTGAACATACTGGGAAATGAGAGAGGGGTGCAGTTGTGCTACAATATAAAAGCAAAGTTTTGCCTTATTACCCACGTAACTTTTTGGAATATCTGTTGCTGCCTTCTCTACTGAATGAGACAGTTTCTCCAGACAATTCAAGACTGAACTCTTATCCACCACTACATCAAAATCTCCTAGTACATCAAATATCTATATCCGAGCTCTGCTGTAGCTGGACTTCTTTCCTGAGAGACAAAGAAGAAGTGGTCAGCAGTGAAATTTAAGAGCAGTGATACAAGCAGGGCAGAAAATCTGCAGAAAAAGTCCCAAAGGATCCAATAACAACTGCAAAATTACCCAAGAACTTCCACGGAGCAGAAACAGACCCTACATACTCACCTGGACACTGGAGCAGTCTACTTACTTTGGAGCTACTAAATTAAAATCAAATGCTACTGTGACCTTCTCCTCAGCACTTCTGCAAAACTGATTTCCCTTCCCACTCCTCTCAAAATGAGCTGAAGCAGTCTGGTAGTTTATCTGCTAGGCACATGAGTGCCTTTGAGAAGAACTGGGGTTTGGTTTCTCTCCAGATAGGATAGTTCTCACATCAACCTATTAACTAAATTGAATCTATCCTGCAGCTTCTACTTGATAATAATATTAATAATAATAAATGTACAGTAACTAATTCACTAAAATTTTCAGTCAAAAGTAATCATCATAGAATGGCTTGAGTTGGAAGGGTCCTTAGAGATCTAGTTCCAACCTTCTGCTGAGGGCAGGGCTGCCACCCATCAAATGAGACTTCTTGGGATCCTATCTAACCTAGCTTTGATTGCCTCCAGGGATGGGGCATCCACATCTTCTCTGGGAAGCCTGTGCCAGTGCCTCACCACTCTCTGAATGAAGAATTTATTCCTATTGTCTAAACTAAATATCCCTTATTTTATAATTATTAAGGTTGGAAAAGGCTTTAATCCACTTCTGTTACAGAGTTACCTTTTTGGAATTTCAAGTTATTTCTTCCATTCTGACAGAAAATGGTGTTGCAGCACAAGCAGAATCAAAATATGTACAGTTCAAGTATTTTTAGAGCTATTTTTGTTGAAAGGATTTAATTACATCAGCTTCAAGCAAGGTGAATAGCAATTCTGGCAACTGATGCACTGGGGATTTTTCATATATATTATCAGTGTCAATGAAATAAAGCCAAAAAACAAATTCCTAAAAAACAGTTAACTTGTTAATTGCCCTGATGAAAGACACAGGTCAATACACATGGCAATGAGTTTGATTTGCCAGTTAACTTCTACAGGCAATGGTTTCATTATGTTCTCAGCACTCTTTTAAAATCTTATTTCTCCTCTGGATTTGGCCATTCATAAGATTTGCTGTGGGTGTTCTTTCTCTGGGCTATAACACATCAAGACATTCACAATCAATATTTTTCATTGAGTTTGGATTTTTTTTCCTCAAAATACTTAAAATACAAAGAAAAAAACCCAAAGCCCTCCAGGCTTTATTTTTTCTTTTTGCAATGAGTTTACAAGCATGAGAGTTACAAAGTAAAGAAAGATCTACTTCCACAAGTCAGTTGCATGGTTTCACATAGTTAGACATAATCATCATACAAATGACCACTGTAAAAAATCCCTCAGTAGCTATATTATAAAATAAACAAAGTGGATGCATCACAGAATCATAGAAAGATTTAAGTTGATGGTGATCTCAGAAGAAATCAAGCAAAGCTAGCTTAAAATATAGAACAACCTTTGTGCAGTCAACTTTTGCAAATGCTGAAGGATGGAGATTCCAAACCTTCTACAAGCATCTGTTTCTGTGCTGAACAACTTCTCCGATGAAAAACGTTCTTATTCAGTCTAATCAGATGGCACAACTAAAGTCTACTATGTGTAAGACAGTTTGTAAGACTCAGCTGGCTGAACAAACCTTACCTGGGCAACGAGGAGTTTTGTGGGCCACAGCAGTACCGCTGATTGGACGACCATTGGGAGTGACACACCAGCAGTATCCAGTGTAACTGTGGCACTGAACCTGTCAGCAATGACACGAATCACATGCAGTCTGTCAGACGTGCATCTATTATCCTGAAGCATTCACAACATGAGCAGTGCGTGCAGCTATGTACATCCGTAAAATGTAGAATGGTAAACCATAACGCACCATAATGACCATCATACATATGATTCTTTAGCATAAAGAGCTTACTTCAACAGAAGTGTGGTAGGACCCTCAGAATCCAGTTGAAGAGGAAACTACTGAAATATGTGGTTGTTTATGTCCTATTTCAGGAGAGTGCAGGTGTTAAGAAAACCTCACAACAAAGTTCCTCAAGAGACACATAAACTATTCCCGATGCAAGCAATCTCGATTTTTTTTCCGCATAGAGAACATATTGTTCACCACTGAAAGTGCAGGACAGAGTGCTTTTGCCAGCATTATTCATATCCCAAGCTGTCAGGAAGGAAACTCTTGGAATTCCTCTTAGAAATCAATTGCATTATATGTCCTGAGGGCCAGTATCACTTCCTCACCATGCTTAAAACAAAAAGGATTGCTTTCTGCACAACTCCACAATTAAAATATATCACAAAGGGAGCAGAAGGCAACCATGATTGGAATGTGTATCACAGAGTAAACATCTAGATGTGACCCTTCTGAATTCTATGATCTAACCTAAGTAAATAAGCCATGTGCTTGTGCACAGCCATTTGCGTGTGCTAAAGTTCAGCTGAGGAGAAAGAATAATCCTGTACGATTCAAGCTAGTAGCACTGATATGGACTCTAATCACACGACTTCTGGTTCAGATCAGGAATAGATCAGAAACTCCAAATATTTTACCATCTGACAAGTATTCACAGGACTACAAGAATGACTCAGCTGTCTCAGCTTTGAAGAATAGGGAGTGTATCATCTGAATAACAGTAATGTTTGGCTCTTTTGCTGGCCAACACTGAAAAAAAAAAAACCAACAAGGCTCAGCTGGCACAAAATGTGAGTTTTCCTTCTGTTTTTTAACATCACTGTTAGGGCAAATTGCATTTCATTTTGAAATTACATTCCTTTCTTTATATTTCTCTCTTCTTCACCCTTTGCAAACACACACATGATTTCAGACATGCAAGATAACAAAAAAAAAATTTAACCTGACTATATGTGCCATCATCATTGCATTCTGGAATAAACACTTGCTGAAATTCTTTTCGAGCTTGTTCTTGGGTGTACTTCCTCTCAGCCACACATCTGGAAACATCTAGACAAAGGAAGATGTCAGTTGGATGATGAAATGTAAATGAAACATAGAAAATAACCTTAAGTAGAGGGGGGCAGGAAAGAAGGCTTCAAGACCACATAAAGAGAATCAGAATTATAATCAGGGAAAATATAAGATATTTTGCATCATACTTTTGAAATAAAATTAATGGAAAACAATCAATTTTGGGCCATACTGTCCTAATTCACTTTCACATGACTTTTTGTTTTTTTTTTTTACTGAGGAGCATATGTCAATTACTAACATAACCATCAGCGTCCTCCAACGTTTGACTGTTTGTCTAGCTTGCGAGTACCTTTGGTTTGCCCAAATATGTTCATGCTGCCTAACAGAGTATGCAAAACTAACATTTTGCCATCTCAAAGACAGAACACAGATATGAGATGAAGACATGCTTTAAGTGACAACTTTGCCATTTCCGCAGCTGCCAAAAGGGCAGAAGGCCAAAAAATATGTACTTCAACAAATTTAAACAATAGCTGCCACTTCATGCTCCACAACATTCTTCCAGTGCTGGTGGCAGCAGCGCTGAGATCAGTTTTCTAGTGCTTTGGGAACGACAAAGTAGGCAGCAGGAGTATAGCTTCCTCCTGTGAGTTTATATACTGTTTCCTTCAACCACTCAGTGAACTGAGTTACGACTAGAGTCGTGCCTACCAGGCACAGATATACATATATTTTTACTTCACTTCACATATATCTACACTATACAATGCATGGGCAGACAGGTGGTACAATAATAATTCTAGAATTAAATCACATCATGCTAAAATTTAGTGTAACAACTTACGATTTAGACTTGGCACTAGTCAAGCAGGTTTTTTTTGGCCACTGCTGTGGTTCATTGCACCATCTCCTTAGTACTGGTCTCCATCCAAGACAAGGCAGCAAATTAGTAAGCTTTAACTGAGTAGCTGCTATTGTCTGAAATATTTCTATTGTCTAATAAAGATATGACATTTCAATTAGGCATTCAAAAGCTGTGAAAAGACACATAACGTAAGCTTTTGTATCTTTTTCTTTTTCTAAAACCACTGCAAATTTTAGCATGTTGTTGATGCAGAATCAATACTTCAGGATCTGCTTAAACTAGGCAATTTCAAGACAAATGAGAATACCAGGCAAGCCTAAGGAACTATTAATGATTTCAAGATGTGACTGTAACGTCTGAATTAGAAAGATCTTAGGCATACAAACAGAAATTTGCTGCTTCTGATCTCTGCCTTCTTTAAAGATTATTTGACAGTAACTGGCCAGATCCTTTTAAGGGCATGCACTGTCCATCAATTATCTACAAGAAAGGAGCATTGTGTTAATTAGTGAATGTTTGTACAGTTCTTAGAAAATGCAAGGATGGATTTTGTAGCTCATGCAAGTTGCACACTGAACAGAATATGGACAATGAGGCAACACTTGCCTTACTACATTGGATACCCAAGCATCTTAACATGCCTTTGTCCTCTACTAGTCCACAGGAGTTACTCAAACACAGGTAAGACAGCTAAGCTCCCCTTCCTCCAGGCACCCTCCCTGTGCTAGCATCACCAAGACACGCATGCAAAAAGCCAACATGGAAGCCTAGTGCAACTGCAAAATTCCACTGTACAGGATGAATTCTTCACTGGTCATCTACACCAAGTGTCAGGTAACTTTAACCAAAAAATTCCCTTCAGGTCTTAAGCAATGTGGTGTGGAAAGTGTAGGATAATGACAGTATAAACTAGTTCTCAGAGTCTGTGCCCTGTGTACACAAAATTGGGGCCCCCTAATTCTAATCTTCATTTTGATTTCCTTTCTGGTCTTGGACTTGTGTGCCTTACTTCTGTGCATTAGTTTATTCTTTTGTAAAATGAGATTTTATTTATCTCTCCCAGGAGCGTTATGAGAGTCAGACAGTCCATATTGGTAACGTGCCCAAACAACAAACTGTCTCATTTATTAAAAATTAAATTTCTGTCTTAAACAATATTAATTGTATTATGTTGCTTCATGACAGAATCACAGGGATGTATTATCATTTAAAATGGACAGAAAAGTTCAACCATCTAGAAATTTGAAAGAAATAATAAGGAACTGAATTAATTTGTTCTCTGTTACTTTAACAACTTGTTTTCTCAAGGGAAAACTATAGTCAATGTGCTATGCAGCTCAGGTAAAGTCTGCTAAAGAATGCACTGCCAAAGTATGGGGTTAAAAAAAAAAAAAGGAATGAAATACTTTAGGCAAGCTTTGGTATCATAAGCCTTATTCTGAGCATGGTTTGGTTATACAGTACTTAATAACATGTGGTTTTAATGTAGCTAGTATTTTAACTGAAAATAAATCAGTTCTTTGTTGGACCTCTGTCCTCGTTTTTCTAGAATGACATGTGGTTTAAATGTCTAAAAGGGAAAGTGATATAAATTCCATCACATAAGATTTCTGCAATAGTACCATCAGGGTTGTAAATTATCTCCAATATATGAATTATCCTAAAAAACATGCCAAGGCAAAAGAGAAGTTCTCCAAAACTGTCCACCACTTGTTCCTAAACAGCTCGATGTTCTAAAAGCCTCCTATTTGTGGATGATCTAATATGCTTTAAAATCAACAATGACCAAATTTAGTGAAATATAAAATTCAAGTCTGAACCCTTGTTTTGTGTTATATAACCATGGAAACGTTTTAAAGCTGTTGGGCATTACTATGCTTCAGAATACCCATGAGGAAGCTCTTTTATCAAGCTGAGCATCTGAAACTGTGCGTAGCCAAAACATGATTCCTAAATCTGCTTTTTTATTTCATCAATGTAGTACCACAGGGGAATAACTTTGAGATTCAGAGATGCAATCCAAACCTTTTGAAAGAATGTAACAGGAATGTCAAGTTAAAAAGACGACACATAGAATACTCTTCTTCAGAATATTAATGGATGTTAGGTTATTCATTCAAAGGTGCTAACTTCCTCCCAAATAAAACATTACTGAAGCCAAAACAAGTTGTTACATTATTATTTAGGATACATTTATAAGATTATATCTGATCACCTCATTTTCTGCCCTGGGTGTAGCATCTTCTGAACCTACTGCCGGTTTCAACCTGATTTTCTAAAGGAAAGAAAGAATTCAAGACACTTAAGGGCTAGACTTTTGTAACAGTTGAAAAAGGTCTGAAAAAAAAAAAAAAATGGCCGAAATGAGACATTATTTGCCTTTACATTCAGACAATGGGAAAAACTAATCTTGCAGATATAAATGCCCACTGTAATTTTGAATTATGTTAACGGATGACTCAGAGAGAACACATTCTTTCATCTCCAGGTAAATGGACTTCTACATCCCAGAACTTTGCTGGAAAAAAAAAATACTCCTGGCATAGAAACTGAGCATGAGTACCTTAAATTATCTAATTTGGACAGTATTAAATGTCAAACTGGGCTAACACAGGGCTTGATGGTTTTTAGCACAGAACATTGGCCCATGCGTTGATGGTACCACTATGACTTAGCACCAAGACTGGAAAGGCAACCAGAGGTTACTCAAAGACATATAGAGCCTGAGGGAATTAACTGAAGACAAGAGTGCATGGGAGTGGACAGAATACACAAAACTGTGGAAATTGCAGTGTTGTAGCTGTTTGGACAGGTCTTTCTGAATTATCCAGGAGTCTAATGTCTGGAAGGCAGAGGTGAAATTTAATCTTAATTCTGTGCTAAGCTTTAGTATGCAACAGCAGAAGCTTTCAGCTTTAGAAGGTGGCACCAGTAGGCAGCTGTGGCATCCAGAAACAGATTCTTTCACACTTGAGGGGGTAGGAGCAGAAGAATTTCTCATTTAACACTAAGGGTGCTGTAGTACTAAGGAAATTCTGAAAACAGAATTAGACTTAGTAACAGAATAACATGGATCTTTAGTTTTATGTCTTATTTTTAACACTGAATAAAACACCAAGCTTAAAAAAAAATTCATCAATTTCAAATCTTAGTAATCTGAATAATATATCAGAGAGAGAAGTCTATTAACAGAAAGTTAAAGTTTATCTTTAAAATAATGACACAAACTCATCAAGGGTGTAAACATCACCTAAAAAGTGACTTTTTGTACAACAGCAGATCTGAGACTCCACAGGGGGATGTCAGATTCTCTCATAGAAAAATAAGTAGCTTGTCAAAGGCATAGATCAGTCTCCTTGAAAAAATTTTCACTTACTCATCTGCTGTTTCCTGCTTTGCTATATAGTTCAGTAAAAATAAAATCACCTTCCCCAGTTCCCATACAGTGAAGCAGACTTCACTTGCTGTGCGAGACACTGTGTGAGATATGGGCTTGTTATGCATTTATGCATAAAATGCACTTCACACTTTATTTAGGTATTTTGTTATTGATAGAATATGTCACTGAATATTTCAGAAATACTTATAACTCAGTTAAAGCTACTTATAAAGTGATTAATAATAAGGAAAATGTTCTCCTGAGTGCTTTCCACATATACTTCGCTCCTATGAGACACAGAAAGTGCTTCTAAATCCACATAGATTTGAAAAAGCAGATCTAGCGTAGACACAGGTAATTCAAATATCTCTTGCTGTTTCAGTACAGGTTTCCCTTGCTGACCCTCCAGTGTGCTAGAATACCTATATACAATTACTTGCCCTTAGATTTAGATATACACAGTGCATGAAGCTATGGAGCTGAACTCTTTACTGAATTGTCCTAACAATGAACCAGGTTTATTCCTACCTCTGTGCTTTTCTAATTCTATACCCTTTTGCTAACTGGTAACTATTGAATGAAAGTCTAATGGGCTTCATTTGTAGGTCAATTGGCATTTAAAAGTTTCATCCACAGCACAGTTTCGTTTCCATGGCACAAACTACTCACAACATGAACATTTTCTAGGAGATCTGGCCTAACGCAAGGCATATTCAATGCAGTAACTCATCATGCCTGTATCAACAAAGTGAATACATAGCAGTAGACTTTAGTAGAAGGAAACAAACA